AAAAAAAAAAAAAAATATATATTTATATATTTTTTTTTTTTTTTTTTTTTTTTAAAGTTCCCAGGTCACACAGCACACACGTACCCGCAGGGATTGTAGGTGGGGGGAGTGAATGTACAGTGCTCTCTCCCACTTTCAATACCACAACTGAGGTGCCCTTGAGCAAGGCACCGAACCCCAAACTGCTCCACGGGCACCGCAGCAAAAATGGCTGCCCACTGCTCCGTGTGTATGTTCACTGCTGTGGGTCATACTTGGAATCAACAAGTTTCCAAGTTTCTAGCCACATGTCACTTCACTTTCACTTTCACAAGTGTACACACAGTCCAAATACATCAACACAAGATGTATGTACTTTGTGTAAAAATGCCTTGCGAGACTAATTCTAATTCAATGTCTGGAGGATATAATATACACTTAGACAGGAAGGATCCATCTGACCAACTTATAAAATGATCAACCACATTTTTACATGATGTAAAGAGGCAGGTAATTCTCAAATCGATGATACCATAATAATGTGGTAGCATGGTGCATGTACACTTTGTGGTCAAAATTTACCTGAATCTTAAACTACTAAGTGCAGATTATTTTATGGATATAAGACTCAGCAATAAAACAGAACATGCAGTTGTTCCTGAGGATATCTCATTTGCTTGCCAAAGCTTCAGTAAAAAATAAAGAAAGAAATACAAAATAAAGAAAGAAACTAAGTAATATGAAACCAAAAAATTGAGCATGTCATTGCCATTTGTGCAATTTTAAGTATGGTTTATGTGTCCAAACATTTTTGGGACCACTGTATCTTATGATATTTTTCGAAGATCATGAAACTTGTTATATTATGAACCTAAACTTTTCAAACTAAACCTAAACAAAAATCAACAAGTTTCTGAAGCGCTCATTGTATCAGACTGTGTATCAGTCTGGATGCATGCAAACAAATATTTGCCTCCCAGCAGAATGATAAAATCCCTGACTCACACAAGTGAGCCAATCAGTGAAACTGCAATCGGTGGATTACATCAACACTAGCCACTGCAGCAGGCCATGGGTGGGCTGTGTGTGGCTCAGACTAAAGCAGCATTACTCAATACAGTCTCATAATAAGCTGCTCAAACATAAACAAAACAGTAGATCAGCAGTAGGCCTGGTCTATACTCAGCTCAGCTCACCTCCTTGAGAAGTGTAGACATGTGAGGATTGGGCCCCTCCTCTCTCTTCTTCAACAGACAGCTACACAGTATCAGGGTGATCAGAGAAATAATGAAGATGCCAAGATCTGGGGTCAGGAGCCACACCATGCTCCAAGGATCCTCCAGCGGTAGCCTGCAAAAGCAACCACAAACTCAGCTATAGGGCTGCCCTCGACTAAAGATTTTTCTGATCGGCTAATAGTTGTTCATTTAAAGCTATTAGTCAACTAATCAGTTTATATTAATATTAAACCATATAATTCATAATAATTAGCCTTTAATTGCCCATAGCCTATCAGCGCTCAAGCGCACGCATAAAGCTTGCCACAGCGCACCGCAGAAGCAATGATCATGAATGCGTTGGGGAAAAAAACAGCAAGATTGCCTTAACATTATAATAATTAATTGATAAACTAGTGTTTTCTGTATTTTCGGCTGCAGTGACGAAGTCGACGACATTGACTCGTCATCGCCACAGTGCACATGCACATTTCACACGGATTACATAATCTGAAAATATTTGTTTCCATTTGAATTGGTTCACTTAAAAGTAGACATTTTGCTTTCTATAGGTATATTTTTCATGTCTGTGAGGCAAGCATGGAATTTTTTGTTTTTGTTTTTGTTTTTTTATGCGCTCAAGTTGACAGAGACCTAGACGGCAGAAAGTGCACCCTGATTGCTTTCATCACTTTTCAAAAGCACAATAATTTGTTGTTTTTGTGAGTGCACAGAAATAAGACCTTTTACAGATTTGGAAGATGTATTACTTTTATCTGTATGACCAAAAATGACGGAGTATTTTAAGTTAAAAGCAAATGATCGCACCGAGCGAGCGGGCAACTATTCAGCTGCCACACTCCGCACAAACACTTGAATAGCGCACATTTTTCTAGGTTAACGTTAAAGCGAGCAGCCACACAATGATGCTACTACTTGCATGTTTCAGATGATAAGCTACATTTGAGGTCCCAAACAAAACGATGTACTGTAATTATGACATAGACCAGCTGTTAATAATCTGTCCGTCACGTGACTTTGCCACTTCCTATGGAATTTTTTTTTCTGTCCCTGCGACTAAGTGACTAATAAAATTTTTATCAACTAAGCCTCTTTTCGTCGACTAACGGTTAGTTGACTATTAGGGGGCAGCCCCACTCAGCTGTTAAATGCCATATCTGAGCATCTGTTATACAGATCAGAAAATGTAGAGTTTCAGGCTTTTCATGAAGAAAAGAAAAGAAAAGAAAAGAAGGATTGAAAATGTAGCCATCATTTGGAAATAAAATAAAACAAAAAATTAAATTAAATTAAACATGTGATCTAGCATTGATCATTTTCATGTGATGCCTTACATATACTGTACATGCTCTCATTCTCTACATACCTGGACACTCCAATATGTCTTGATAGAGTCTCCCATGAGCTGCCTACAGAGAGAGCAAGAGAGAAGGTGTGTATGCTCAGGATAAAATGAGTCACAATACTGTCTAAGTACTGGACACTGTCAAGTTGGCCATAAAGACGAGCCAACCGCAAGTGCCCTCGCAAAGCTACCGAAACATTTCCATGAGCCACTGAACTCTCCTTTGGCAGAGTCAGCCAAAGGCTACAAGCCCTTAAAGTCTTTGCAGTCAGCCTGGCGACTCAATAAAGATGTGTGGGACTCAGGAATGATACATCTTGCATTGGTCTTTCTGGACAATTTTGGAAGGGAAGGCAAACGTCGTCCAAACCTCAAATAAGAGAGGCTAATAACTGTGGCTTCTCAAATGGATTACAGTACATATCATGCAATTTGTGATTTTGGCAAGTCGAACAAGGTCCTGGATTAACATTTCTGTGAGATAAATTTAATTTTCAGATTTAGTTTAAGTTAGATTTAGCTTTTGACACATCATTTCCTTCTGATTTTATAGGTACTAAGGTTTAGGGTTAGAAAAAAGGACTTAAGTTAACCAGACTGTTGTTTTGGAACCAACAAAAAATTTAGATCCATGAACATGTCCTGCTTGACAAAAATGACGGTCACCTGAGAATGCCCTGTTGTAAAATTCAGTTTAATCTGGTAGCTGTGTTTTGAAACATAGCTTGCTTTTTACCGTAACATCTTTGGATCAACTTGTTGAAACATGAAGGTTACTGAATACAATACACAGATTAAAACTTTGGTGCCGTATGGTTTGAATGTGGATTTTAAATTGAGTTTTCTTTTTTCTTTTTTTTTTTTACACATTTGAGATTGAAGCTACATATGTATTTATAAAGTATGTGTGCACATCTGTATAGGATACAGGATTTGTGACTTGTGGCAGTTAAGTGACACAACTGATGCTGGTAGGTCACATGACAGTAGCTAAATTTACATGGATACCTTTTGTTTCAGTCGGACAGAAATCATTACGACTGATGAACTTGAACGTAGTGTTTACATGAATGCTAAATAAAGAGATTGGGTTGATGTACGAGTTTATATGTCGCAAGCTTCAAATCAGATTTGATCTTCTGACATTCGCACACTGCATGAATATACTGTAAGAATATGAGTTTGCCGCTATTTCAAGAAGAGCATACTAGCCAATAGCCATCCTATAAATTTCAGGTCCTTATTAGGAGACGATGAGCAAACAAAGCTTTGTGCCATGCTGCTTATAATTATCAAGCAGTAAAAATGCCACTTCCCACACCCAAAATAAGGTGTCTGTCAAAGAAAGTCTGAGCAGGACTGGTGGGACAACATTTGTCCTGCACCATTTCACAGGCGATGACTGGAAGAATTTTTCAACGACAACAGCCATTTATGACACTTATGTTTTAGCAGCTCATTCTTTGTGTAATACGTCATTACACCATTTCTACGTCACTGCAAATGTGCATAACTCTCCAGTTTCAGTTTTCAATCCAATCAAGTGTTTACATGTCCTACTGAACGGATTAAAAATGGTTTAAACCTACAATCTGAATGACATTTTTTTAATCGGATTTAGCCAATTCATTCTGATTGACATGGTCTTTTTTACTAGTCCGATTACAAACGGATTATCAGGGACCATGTAAACAAAGCTAATGAAAACATGGCCAACATAGTATGTCTGGATTACATTTATACTACAAAGAACATACTTTTTTAATAGTTACTTAGTAGTGTTGTCAAAAGTACCGATGTCGGTACTGAAATTCTAAAAATATGACAATGCCAGTATTTCCTGCTAGCATTTTGAGCGCTGTTGAGCGGATTCTTAAACAGCTCTGATTGGCCATTGTGTTCACATGCTCAGATATATTAGGGATCCACTACTGATAGACACGGCTTTCAAACGCTTCTGTGTGTATATGTGTAAGCGCTTGGTGAAGAGTGTGAAGCGATGATCATTGGAGCCAATCACAGACATATCTGTTGAGCACGAGAACATAATGGCCACTCAGAGGTGTTTAAGATTCCGCTCAGCAGCGCTAAAAATGCTAGCGGGAAATGCTAGTATCGACACATTTTTTAAATTTCAGTACCAACGTCGGTTCTTTTGACAACACTATCACCAAGTAATTACTTGTTCAAAAGAAATACCTACTCAGCCCGAGAAGACAAAACGTGACATACAGATCTGTCTGTGACCTTCATTAATGTTTTAGTTGATCAAGACAGGTGTGTCAAGTAATTATCCAACACTGATTGCGATGAACACATTTTTCACCTGAAAGTAATTACTGACTTCTGTTCTCATTTTGAGGAAATTGTACTTTGACAAAGGCAGTTAAAAATAAAGTCTAAGTGAGTATGAAGTTATACAGTATATTTTTTTCTTTACAAAGACCATCTTGGACCAGCAACAAACCAGCTACCAGCTTATGGTGGTTCAGTTGGCTTTGAACATGTTAACTTAGCTGGTCAACTACCTACAGAACAGCCTGGACATAGGTGGAGCATGTGTAAGACTGGGCCACGGGGACCATGGGGACTTGGGACAAAAATGCCACTAAATTGGACAAAAATGCCCCTGCACAAACAAATTCAATCTATTACGTCTGTTGCTAACAAACTGAATATGAATAGACAGTGTCGATTGCGGCATTAAATTAAGATCTACTCATGTTCTGCTCATCTGCACCATATTTAATTTAAGGCAGTTTTACAGTGTTGCGCATTTTAACCAATCACACACAATTCTGTTGAGCTTAGGAATGCAATGGCCAATCAGAAGCGTTCAGATAAGTTATCGTTCAAACTCATCAGTTTTGTTGAGTGCGCGCGAGTTTGCTGACTGAATTCCGGACCCTTGCGAATTCGCTCATCATAAACAACAAAGCGCAGATGTACGTACAATGTAAGTAAGAGATTCATTTAACAGGTGTATACAGCTTCAGTGATTATAACGATAGTTTAGTTCTTTTGAGAGTGCTTAACCTCGCATTGATCAATGTTAGTGATAATGTCACTTTCTATATATAATTTATTCGCTGTTTGAATAACCGTGGAAAGGAAACGTAATACAATTATACATTTCTAACGTTTTTATTAAATTGTAATCACGTTAAATACAAATTCAGTCCCTTTAAAAAAAATGTTTAGCCTACATGGCACCCATGTCTGGTTCTTGCCTAAACATTAATGATGTTAATACATTTGGCTGCTTTTAGCCTTACCCTGGAGTTGGTTCACCCTCCACCTATGAGCCTGGAACAGGTAATAACTCGAGACCCCTGCTTTGATCTTCTTTTTAATTTTTATTTATTTCACCTGAAACAAGTCGGACTTACAGTTATGTCCCAGTTCATCATCAAGGCTGGGGATGGTATATAGGCAGATCTGGAAGCTGACATGTGCCAAGAGGAAAATCAGACTGGTGCTGAAAAGGGCCTTGATGTAATGTCCAGTGTGTCCTGTGGAACAGAGAAGAAAAACACAGCTGTTGACGGTTGGCACAAAGGTTGATGTAGAAAAAAAAAAATTGTTAATGAAGGTTGATAACTGATATGACGGTCAATATTACAAATCTCTACAGTCTGCATTTACAAATTAGCCTGGTTTCACCTCAAAATAAACCTGAAATGTACAGTTCACATAAGTTTTGACAACATTTGAATAAAACTTTAAAAAATCATGGTTAAAAAAAAAAATCCAGAGTCACAATATGTCAACTACCCATCGGTTGTCATAACAATAGCTTTACAAGCTTTGCAGAAACTCTCTTAAGATTCAATTGCAACATTTACATTGTAGCCACCCAAAGATGGGATTTCTCATAACATTTTTCCAACAACGCAGCATAGGAGCAAAATGAGCACATGTGTGAGCATTTAACTTTTGTGAGAATTAGGAAAATGCAATGGCAGGCCCAGCTATTCTAATCATGGCAGGACTGTCAAAATATACTTTTTTTGTGGCTAAAAAATAATTTCTGCTAAAGCATAAACGAGCAAAGAGCACTGGGCCCTCCTCTGTAAAAAGCCCCAAACTAGAGCTACAACTGGTCACTGTTAGGACAGAGCTTTTATTTTTGTTTTAAAGAGAGTTTTGACTTTGTAGCAATATAGGCGAGGGCTAGTTTTCAAACTCATTTGGGTTGAACTCACAACTTCAATTGAGAGTGCATATACAGTGTGGAGAATTATGGGTACATATAAAGGACTTATTTTATAGAGCGAAGCAGCGCACACCACTTTAACAAACATAAACAGAAAAAAATTAGTGTATACATAACTCATATTAGTGTGGCATAGTGAAGCTTTATAGGGGAGTAGAACTGGGTTCAATTACTGCTGCTTATTAAGGCGTCACTATTGTTATTGCTCATACTGTACTATTGCTCACCCAGAACTTCCAAACCTTTTGTACCACTGACATGAATGATACCTCATATTTTGTGCCTTATTGAACAAACTTGTTATTCTTTCTTTTTTCCTTTTCTTCTTTTTTAATTTGAAAGCAATTGTCCTTTTCCGTACCTAACTGTAAAAAATGTATATGCTGCAGCAGGTTTATTAGTTTGCAGATCTATTACTACAACACTTACTATACGTTCAGGTCTATTTTGACATTAATTTCAGAAATTAACTTTTATTTAACTTGTGAATGAATTATATACAGAAAGCAAGCAAAGACTCCCCCTATAATAATAATTGAAGCTGTCAAGCACTTCAGTTCAGCACGATCTCTCACAGTTCTGCACTCCAGAGGCACAGCAGAACCAAAGCACATCTTACATAATTACCAAAACAATGTTCTTCTGCAAGAAGCTTGTAGTTTTATGCTTCAACGGCTAAAGGGTCAAAAGTTACATAGTGTAGCTTTAAAATCTCAGGGAATCCTTCAAGTAAATTATTGTATGTCTATGGGGTTCAGCTGATAAACATGTGAAAATTAGAACCGTTGCTTTATTATAGTTTTTCTAACTATAATAACCCTGCTATGCAGTTGCTATGGTTTAAGTGTGTTACTATGAGCATATAATGGTGTTCTTAGAGTTATTAAAACTTATAGAGTTAATAAAACTAACACCAACCTATGATTTATAAAACTAACACCAACCAAATTCAATTGTAGACATGTTTGTTATTTTTAGCTGCAAGATAGCAAAATGCTCCTATGGTTATCATCACTATCCTATATCTAGGGTAATTTTAGGGTGAGAGGAGTGACTTCTGTATTTAGCACACTCAAAGAGTGATAATTCAGTGAATTCACTAATACCATTCACTATAAAACTTTTTTATCGTCCACCATGCAAAAGAGTTTTGATTGTTTAGAAAGGTACAAGCACAACTCTCCACAAGCGATATAATTTCTTTCATATCCGTACCACAAACGGCCATGCTAAAGTTTAAGACTTAGGGGTTAGGGTTTTACACTAACCGCAGGTACAAATAGTAATAGTGCCTTAGTAAGCACTCCTTACAGGAAGAGAAAAAAAGCTGCACAGTCAACAATTACAGCCTGAAATGAGTACCACCTGAGGTCTGTGGTTATACTTTACTGTAAAACACTGATGGAAATGCATCGCTGCATAATGTAACCTGTAAAATAAAGGTTTTATTGGACAGACAGCACTGCTTGGGGTTTTCAAGTTGCTCTGCTTAATGCAAACTGTACTTCAATTTCCAGTATATATGTGAAAATGGACCGGATCGCAGCAGAAATATTCTGGCTAGACAAGGTGAGTGAGGGCACCTGGGTAAGAATGAACACAGAGAGGCCTCTGCAAAGCTATATTTGTCTTTCCAGTTTGTCTTGGCATTTTCTCTGGTTTGTTTCCAGTGAGATTCAATGAAAGGCCACTTCAGCGCTCGCCACAGATAGCAGCACCGCTGGTTACCTCTAACCTATGCACTATAGCAGGAGTGTGAAATCTGTGGGACCATTATAAGATTTTCTGCAGAACTAGATGACTGTGATGTCTTGTGTTTTGACACGTGTAGCCGTGATTGTTTTAACAAGAATCAGGGCTCTAGAGCACTTGATACAGCTCCATATACCCCAAAAATGGTGTAGAGTTACTGAGTCACTATGGAAAGAATAACAGCCTGCCTTACCAAACCAAGCAAGAGATTTTATTGGATCCCAAAAAAAAAGTACAACATTAGACAATGATATACTTGTTAAATTGTTAAAAACATGAAATCATTTATAACTTTTAAAATGTGTAGTTTATCAGTGTCCCTGATTACATACGAATTCAGTGACAGTGTGCAAGCCATTTCTAGGTATTTCTAGTATAGAATTTCTAGTATAGAATCTAGAAGAGGATTTCTATGCTGGTTGCCTTGCCGAGAACTCTTACTGTCACTAACTCTTAACTGCATGACTACGTTGTGATTACTGATGCATTTTCAGTGTGAAACAATACAAAAATGCTGCAAATATACTCACACTTTTGGGGAAAATCTACAGCAATTCAATCATTTCTGCTGCAAAAATCTGAAAAAAAGAAAAATAAATCCTGCAAAGTCCTGGTGGTACTAATACATGTGTTTGGCAAACGATTTGGGGTGTTTAAGTAACTTCAATTCAGAGTATTTGGCAGTAGAATGGCCTATTTGTAAATAAGTCACACACTGAGATGCTTTGTGTTTTTCATATTCAGATACAATAAAGAATGGAAAAAGCATCTCCTTATAGATGTCAACATCACTTTGCTTGATAAATAAGGAAAATATGATCCTTTTAGCCATGAATTTGAAAAGGTTTCATTAGTATTTTTAATCTGGAGGCGTTCAGTGGCTTCCTGCCGCATCAATGACTACGTTTACATGGACATCAATAATCTAACTATGTACCTTATTCTGAATAAGATAATATTACGATTAAGGTGTTTACATGAGTTGCTTTTAGAAAATTCCTTTCATGTTCCCGTTTTACATGTTATAGTACATAGTTCGATTAATGACACACGTCATTACATCACCACGTGACGCCATCCGACATCCCCTCCAGAATGTAACGTATAAACAAATAGTCTTCATTATGATGCCATATACAGTTTTGGGTGTTTAATTTTTTATTCACTGAAAGCTTCAAGAGCAGTTAATTATTTGTCATGCTATACATGCAAACAGACGACGGCGTTGTTGAAGCCATTCTTTTGTCAAACGGTTGAACACTGCTGTGCGTGTGTCCTGTCGTAAAATGAAAAGTTCTACACGACTTCAATAATTTGATTAAGGTGTGTACATGTCTTTACTGCACTTCAATAATGCGACTAAAATAGAAATACTCCACATGTCTTAATTCGATTAGTGTTTACTCCGATTATGACTTTAGCCAGATTAAGGTAATCAAAAACATCCCAAGTTACGAATGTAACCATGGTTCCCCGAGTAGGGAACGAGACACTGCGTCCTCTAGGGGTCGCTATGGGGAATGCCTCGTCGTGACCCATGTCTGAAGAATACAGTGACAGCCATGACGTCACTATAGTATAAATAGGCGCCGGGAGAACACATCATCCACTTCTTTGTCTGAAGCTTGCGTCCAAAGCATGGCAGGAAACCTAGAGGACAAAGTGTCTCATTCCCTACTCAGGGAACCATGGTTACATATGTAACCTGAGACGTTCCCTTTCAAGGGAACTTCAAACTTCGTCCTCTAGGGGTAGCTATGGGGAATGGTATACCCACGCCACCATGCTGAGGGGAATGCATGCCAGAAGCCATGGCGAGCACTAAGTACCAACTCTACCACAGCCATGGGAGTTGCCCCTGGGACGTTAAGACGGCTGTCAGTGACATTATCCCCTACGGCCATAGGCCTAGGCTACATACCCCCAAAACTTACCTGTTAGGGACAGAACTCCTGGGCTCGGAGTAGAGCTCAAGGCTTGGAATCAGGAATAGATTCCTTTAAGGGAATACGATCAAGAGCCTAGAATCATACTAAGTCTTGGCCTGTCACACAGGGGCTACTGCATGCTCTGCATATGCTGAAGGAACGGTCTCAACAGATACAAGGGGGAGTGGTGCCCAAGGTGGAACCGGAGCTTAACCAGCTCAAGAAAGGGCACGAATCTGACGTGCAAAGCCCTCACCATACAGGATTTTAGAAAAATCGCAAAGTACTAGCGTGCAAACTTACCACAGTGTAGATTTTAGAAAGGCAGCATGTTCCAATGCTGGAACAGCTAGCAGTAAGTTACCTTAGTTGAGGGAGCACAACACCCAGCTCTCAACGAAAGGGGGCTCGACCTAGAGCACGATCGTTAGAAATCAGAAGGGTAAACGTACTGCAAGCTAGCCAAAAAACTCAGCACATCAGAGAGGCGGAGGAAGGGCCTAGTTCGCCTGATGCTGCTGGTTCCAGGTGCTCTGGGAAAACAGAGAACTCAACTCTCACGTGAGAGGAGAACTTCGAATTCAGAAAGGAGTAGCGTGCTCATAGGCAACCCTTT